GAAGCCAGAAAAATTGGCGAGGTAGAAACCAAGATTTTGACTACAAACAGTGGCATCTTTGGTCACTAAGTTCTAAGTTGTCCGGATCTTTCAGAAACAACTCTGGCGTTATTTTGTGCACTACTGTGAACCCTTTGCTTTCCTTGGTACTTGTTTTTAGGACGGCGTTTGAAAATTAGTGCTTCATTTCTCCAGGAGAGAATGGTAGTCTGTGCTGTCTATCCATAAATGCAAACGGACAGCTTCCATTATGGCCAACAAACACCAAGCGTACAGTGCAAATTAAAGAAATTAACACCAAGTCCTGAAAAGGAGCATGTCCTCAGCATGTGCCCCAGCTGCGCTCTAGCTGCCGCCGCGGCTGTTACTTTTTTTTTTTTCCCTCTTTCTAATACCCACAGATTTTACTGCAGATTCCGGGTTATTTGTAGTATCTCTGAAAAAAAAAAAACGTTGTCCGAAAAGAGGAGCGATTCTTCTTTCAGCCCCCGGTGCCTGCAACGCTTCTCCCAAGGCTTTGCCCTTGAGGCGAGCGCTGAGTTTCCAGTCGGTGAAGGCGGGGCGCGGGCGGGGGAGAGCGACCCGACCCGAACCTGACAGACAGCCCAACCCGGGGGAGGCTTACTGGCCCCTCCGCTGGGGCGTGGAGGGCACGGGGGTCGTACTTCCACTGGCACGGATCGTGGATTTGTTTTGCTTTTTTAAATGCCAACTACTGAGTGTGTTCCGATGTCGCGCTGTCGGTTGTCTCGGTCCGAATGGTAAAGTTGCATTAAAATAAAATTACCCTACGAGAGCCTGGGAAATTGGGCACCGGAAAGTTTAGGTTAACTGATTTTTAGAGAGTACTGCACAGGGGGTTAATTTTAAGAGTTATATAAAACTTAAGTTGATGTATAAACAAGCAGGATGTGAAGGATATGAAAATGTCCCAGGAGGTAAATCGAGGTCTGCTGTTCAGAAAATTTAAAACTTCAACATTTGCCTCAATGCTGCATTGTGTACAGTAACAGGAGTTTCATTTTAGACATTTCTTCAAAGTCAACCACCTTCCTGTGGTGGTTTTTTTTTTTGCATTTGTAAACTCTAACTTGGAATCGCTCTATTAAAAAAACCCTGATATTTAACAGACATGGGGCTTCAGCCACTGAATACTGTATCTCAGCTGAATTCCTAAATCTCACTTTTTCCTCCTTAAAAGGAAACTGTTATTAGATGATAGGTGTCAACTTTATTGGCACACATATTAAATCAAACATTAATAACACTGCTGCTCAGCACATATTAATACTTTCTGGGTTCAGAGGAGGAACAGACACACTGCCATTGTTGCTAATCGACAATATTTTAATATAGAAGCACTTGGATACACAAGACATAAATATCACTCACATGAATTTTATGAACTGAAGGATTGTAAATATAGTGTTTAAGCTGAGAGAAATATGGTCATTGAAAGGTGAATCGTGACATGTCTTCTGAAGTTCAAATGCATGTAGAGTTCCTTATCATCTCAATGGATAAGTTAGTATTGTCCACAGTGTCAAACATCCATTGCTCCTGTTCATTAAAGGTAAAAATGTTGTGTTCTCCATTTTCTGAGACCGAAGCCATAAGTGCTTGTGTTTTTCTGAAATATCTGTGACTTATACATATGGTGGTAGCAGGAGAGTCCATATCATGTAGCCATATCCTTCTGTGGATGAGTAAATTTTGACCAGCTCTGATGCCATGCGGCTGTAGCTGTATGGTAGAGAAGGAGGAATGGCTGATTTAGTCCTATCAGTTCTGCAGCATGTCCCAAATGATGATACGGGAAACACTTTCCCAGTGCATGCTCATACTAGGTGACAGGTGTTGTGGAACCAGTTCAGTTATTTGCGTCCTGGGACTCCAGCTATGGCAGTGTCTTGGAAATTAGCTCCTGCAACAAGCACTGAAGTGTGTTGAGAAGAAACTGCTGTAGAAAGAGTAAGAAGTTACTTGAGTTGTGAGGAGGACTTCTGGAAGATATGGAGAACATAAAAGACTGTGAGAGAGTTATTACAGAATAATGGTTTATTACTGTATTTTCTTACAGAGTCACAGCTAAACTTTCAGTGAAATACAAAAAGCAAGTAATTAATGAAACTTTATAGAGGAAAGAAAAGTAAAAATAATACTAGTTGGTTATATAGACATAGCATGTTCTCTCTTTAAGTGGTGTGTTCATTCAGTTTTCCTCACCTCAGAAGATACCTAAAAGTGTCATGAAGGTAGCATAAGTCACTAATGAGATTTCATTGGAGGAAAGAAGGCTAAAAGATGAGGGCTTATATTTGGAAATGAAAGAACAATGCAAGAAACATTTCATAAAGTAGGAGAGTAGATGGTAAAAAGGAAAGCAAACCATTTTTCTTTACTACAAGAATAAAAACATGCTCTAGAAGTCAAAAGCATTTAAAAAAAGGCAACTAGAACTGTTGTGATATGCTTATGCTGGTGGCTATGATTCCTCTCTGTTCAGCTAGACCATGAAAAGTAGCCCAGCTTCTCAGTGGAATCAACTACTTGAGACGAAAGATGCACCACCTGATCACAGGCTCAAAGCAAATTATGATACAATATTGACCCTGTGATCCAAGAACTTTTGCTGATAAGAGGAGAGGCTGGATACTGTGGGGGTTTTTTGATAGTGTAGGTAGGTGTCTAGGTATGAGCAAGAAGCATAACAAATCTAAGAGAAACAAATGCAAAGAAGAGGGACACAGAGATGCAGAATAAAAGATGGTGAGTATGGCTTTGGGAAGTCAGAATAGAACAAAATGAAACAAACAGTAAGGAGAGCTGTTCAGGGTTGCTGCTAGCAAAAAATAACTTCCGTGTGTTTGATTCCTTTTATTCTCAGAGCAATAAGAGTTTGGGCATTCTTTGTGGATTACACAAAAAAATGGGATTACATCAAAGAAATGGCTGATTATTCAGTATTTTTTTCCTGTCAGTGACACCACCACCACCTTAGGACCCTCAATTACTGCTTACTGCTTGGGTCAAGAAAGGGTAATCATATTTAGTGTAATGGATAATTAATCTGTGGAACTCATAGCAAAGAATCTTAGTGAGATAAGTAATTTTGTAAATTTCTAAAAGCTTTAGACAATTAGTGAAGATAGACATCTGCTGTTATATTTTCTGCCCTGGTAATTACAAGGACTATTAATTCTCTCATCTCAGGAGAATGCTCAAGTGATAAGATTAAGAAACTCTTTACATTTTTGTTTCCATATAGTTAGATGACTATGGGAACTTTGTTCTGAAGGGTATAACATTTATGGCAAAATGCTGAATTAGATGTGCAACTGTTTTATTTTTGTTTTACACTTTATTTCCAGTAGACTTTGGCAAAATGATTAAGATGTTTGTCGGCTAGTAGGAAGAGTTCAGATGTAAAGTAAATGAGAGCTGGATGTGCGGAATCACACCTAACAAAATTTATCTCTAATGCAAATAAATCATTTTCTACAAGTCTGCAATTCATATATGCTGCTTGGTTATACCTGTATTTTGACTCAGGCTACCTGATTAATAAGGGACTCTGATTCTTTTTCCCAGTGAAGCATCCTTCCTCATTTTCAAAGGAACCAAGCACATCAAACCCCCAGTCGGGAGCATTTCTGAAGGTTAAGCCAATTGCGTAGAGTGTAATGAGGGGAGCTTTGGCATCCTGCTCTAGGGGCACATGTTTAAAATTCATTGCATGTCTTCTGCAAATGGTGGGCATTTTCTGCTGTCTTTGCCTTTTTGTCAGCCTGCTGGACCTGCAGAACTTTACTATCTCATTATCAGTTCTCATGGGGAGCTGATGTTTACAACAGAGCAGGGAACCCAGTTGCTTCCCTTCCAGGAGGGCATATTTTAGCCATCTCATTTGGGTAGAGAGTTCTAGAGAGCAATGTTCACTCATGCTCTTTTGCTTGTCAGACAATGAGTTTTTTAAGTTGACTATACAAAGAACATCACCTTCTACAGGGAAATTTGTTATTCATCTAAATACTCCACTCACAATTATTTTATTACCATAAAAGTTTAACCTACTAAGTTTGTAACCCTACCCTTGTCTGACAGGTTATTATAGAAGTATACAGAGTAAGAAAACACTGGAGCTTTCTGCTCACGGCCATTCTATGATATAGTCTCGCTCTTCCCTGAAGAGGAGTGTCTTGGGTCTTCCTGCTGTAGCTAGCATGAGTCTCCTGTTGGCTGTCAGTTCTCAACCTGCCGACGACAGATGACAGTTCACATTTAGTCCTGGTTCTGTTAAACATACATGAGAGCATACGTGCAGTTACGCACATGCACAGAGTATAAGCAGTAGGTGTAGTTACACTGCCAGAATACACTTTGTGGGGAGAGAGGAGCAGATTTACCCAGTGTTTTACTTGCAAATTCTTCTCAAGTGTGCCAAAGCAAGCATGAAAGGGACCAGAAGTGGCTTGAACGAATGTGAAGACTACTGTGATAGGTGTTGGACTGTCATACAAGGAAGGAACATTTTTCTTCATGAGAAAGTGACTGTTGTGTGAAACAATTGAGCATTCTGTTACAGAGAAATGTGATAAAACTAAGTAATAAACATTTGAACATCTAGCAGACAGATCAAATTATTTATGATACAGCTCATCACCTGGTTAGAAAAAAGATACTACCAGAGAGAAATATGGGTTGGGGATAGGGGTAAAGGTGCAGGGTTACTGGAAAATACGCTTTACGAAATCAGCACTAACAAGCTGTGAAAACCAGAAATTCATCTAATTCAGCAGCATATAAAGGCAGAACAGAGGAGTAAACATACCACAGAGACCAGATTTATTTACTGTAATTGTGAAGGCAGTCACAACAATGCAGAAGTGCTCAACAAGCAGATAGCAGCAATACACTGTAAAAGCAAGAGTTTTATAAAAGAATCTTCCTCCATATGCCTTTTGCAAAGAAATACAGATGAAAAATATGAAAATGTTTATAACAGCTGGCAGACAAATCTGTAACAATGAAGATAAAGAGACACAGTGTTTTGCTGGGTCCCACCATATGTGTAAGGTTTTTTTTATATAATGCTGGTAAGAATAAACATAACCATGACAATTCAAAAATGACATTTGAGCTGTGTCAACCTTGTTACAGCTATGGTATGCTTATGATTAATGGCAGTCCAATGGACTTATGATGTGTTTTGATTTCATTTTCTTGTCTGAAAGATGATAATGAGGGTTTATTGCAGATGCTCACAGAGACATGCTCGCAAGTGTGAGAGCAGCATGGGACCAAGCTCAGAGATGGTTTTTTGTTTAATGGAAGGTGGACAGACATGGGTTGAGCAGGGACAGAAATTACCTCCTATTAAGATTAAATGAGAGATAACAACTAGAAAAGTAAGTAGGCCAGAAAAAGCTTTGGAAGTGAAGACAAATAATTTACGTTTGAGGTGTTAGAGAGGCCAATGTTCAGCACAACCTCTTTTGCGTCCTGCACTGCAAGGAACTCATGATGACCGAATTAGGCAAAAGCGAGAACCATCTTCTCCAGTTACATGCAGCACACAAAAAACACAGCTGTTGTGGCAAATTCCTTCTAATTTCTGGGCTAGGAGGAGGCTAATAGGCTTTTGGGAAATACTCTGGATCTGCTGTCCATCACATAATCTAAAGTCCCGTACATGGAGTTTGAAATGGCAAAAGAGGGTATTCCAATTGTAGTTGGACATATACAGGTTATCAGATGTATTAATAGATAATACAACTTAGAGAAAATGATTTTGACGAGATTAATAATTTTATGTGCTATATTCATGTAGTAAATCACAGTGATACCTGACTTCATTGGTTCCCTTACTGTTGAGAAATGTACTACAATAGAGCTCTGTTAGTATTAAGAAGTGATATAGCAGCCAGCAGATGGTGAGGGCGGTTTTGAACAAATTCAGACGCCAGACTGAACTAATAGCCTAGGAGGGAACACGTTCACAGTAAGGCTATACTCAAAAGATTTGAGAAAGATCTTCAAAGTGTGTTTCTCCATGAGAACAGGAGAGGAGATCACATGTAGTCTTTTAAGTGAAAGGCTATTTATACCATTTGAAATTTGAGTGTTCTGACAGGTTCAGATTATGAGAGAAAATACAAGATTCTGCACCTGCCACTTTTTGGGGCATTCTAAAGCATTATATCCCCATCTGCAGGGATTTGGATGAGACAGAGGTAATTGTGGAATACCTGCTAATGCCAGGTAAAAATGAACGCCAGCAACTTTTTATGTTCTTCAAATTTCTGCAAGGAAACCTGAACAGCAGAGGAAGTGGATTGGACCAACTAGTTCGTATACATGGGGATAAGAGAGATTTATTGGACCCAGACCTTTTATAATTTATAAAGCTCCTGCTTCCTTCTAAATCCTAGAAAATCAGAGACATGATTTGATTGAGCTTTGTCCTGCTCTTCCAGGCACAGGAGTTCCCATTAGAGTGGTCATCATGGAAATGGTGAAGTTCCTTATGACTGATGAACAAAAGAGCAAATTAAAGGTTAAAGAAAAATATTTGAAGAAAGTTACAGAGACATTGTACTTTAAATATTTAAGAGAACCAACATCAGATATAGATCAAGAGATGAGTCAAAAGACAATATAACCCCATTTTTTTCCAGGTGTTCCTTTCCCCCTGTTCCTTCACTGGCAAGAGTATGTTTTCTCTAGTAGTGTCCACATCAGACATATGCCTGCCCCTGATACACATGGACAGCGATGTCACAGCACACTCTGGTCTCTCTCCTCATTCAAGATCATGGGTTTGTGGAGTAATTTTTTCCAGAGTTAAGCATGAAGGGGCATATGCTGTCAGGGCACTGACTAAAATGTAAACGAACTTAATTTGGTTTGGAAATGGACGTCTACCAATGTGCATGTTTGCGAATGGATTCATGGACAGGATTTTTCTGAACCAAGTTTCAAACACCGAATTGTTGGAAGCCATAATACCGAAACCATTGTTCAAAACATTCCCTAGTATCCACATAAAAGACAGAGATGTCACTGATGTATTTGCCTAGTATGAAAGGTTGGCTATCAAAGAGCCATTTACGGTGCAAATGTTTCTGAGGATAATTATTAAAAATGTAGAGAAATTTTGAGGTAAATAGAATTCACACAATTCCCAAATAGACATGCCTTTCTCAAATGAGAAATATAGAATTGTCCAAAATTCCAAATCCTGAAAGAGTAGTTTTAAATAGAAAACCATAAGGAAATAGGATATTTTGTTTCAGTTATGAAATTTTATCAAGACTGTAAAGATTACATTAAGGACAGAAGTCAGTAAAGGAAGATTACCAGAAGTGAAATGGTTAACTCTACTGAAGTTGCTGGAAGATTTCCTACAGATCAGAAGGAGATATTTGAGAAAGAGGATTTCCTTCACATTCTGGAATTTACCCAGCATGAGAACATGAATGGTAAAACCATAATGCTGCATGTCCAGATGAATTTTCAGAAGGATGTCCTCTTTTGTACAAACGTGCAGCATTGAAGACAAGCTGCAATTACCAGTTCAGAAACAACAAGTTGTCACGCAACTTCTTGTAGTTCGAGATGATTTTTCTCTTCTTTTGTACCAGTACCAGAGACCAGTAACAGCATTGTTTACAATGTTGACAATTAACGTCCCGGTGGAGTGAGTATGTCTCCTTCTGCCTCTAAAAATTTAGGCAATTTTTGAATTTGTCACCAGTTCTACATCTTCAAATAATACTTACACATGTCAAGTGCAACCCCAATCTGATGACACATCCGTCCTTCAGTACCCATGTTCATTCCCAGTAAGGTTTCCTTGGTAGGGATGTGAAGAAACTTCTGGTCTGCAGAACTCTCTTAATGTTTTGTGATCTTAAATCAAACTTCCAATGAAAAGGCAATATAAGAAACAGATCCAGTGTAACACAAAAAGGATCTGGGAAGCTCCATTTGACTGCTCTTCTGCAGATGATTTTAGTCTTCACATAATTGCAAATCTCTTGCAATCGCTCAGCTGATTGACTGTCGTAAGTGAGGAAATGAAGCAATATGCTTTTTACATCAATTTATATGGCATACTGATTGCTTTTTAGCAATTCTGACAGTAAATGTAATTAAATACTTTTTCTGTGATGAACTTTTTTTTGGTCAAATTCCTGGCAATTAAAATATTTCATATTTCTGTTTAAGTATTTGTTGTATTATGAAGTAAAATATGTGAAGTTGTTTATTAATAAAATAGCTAAAATGGAGACTATAATATGTGCAATTATTTGTAGAATTAGCTCCTTTTCTCTGCTTTTGACACTTCTGATGTTTCCTGTGATTATTTTAGGGCTATAAACCATATCTTTTCTGTAAAGATTTTGAGATTGATTTAGAATTTGAAGTACTTTAATGGAAATACAGAAAAAAAAAAGCTTAGAGAAAGTTGAAGTACAGGAATAGGTGTTGAAAGGAGACACCAAGTTATCTGAAGGTTTGAAAAATGTCTTGCAGTAAAAAAACCCAAAATAGAGTGGGCTAGAAATGCTTTGATGGAATGTTTTTCAGCTGATAGTATCTATTCATCAAAATGATACTCTGCTAGAAGGGATCAGTTTTCATATTTCTGGTTTTGAAATGTTTCCAGCAGTTTTAAAGTTGTTAAAACAACCTGTTTCAACATTTTATAAAAGAAAAGAAAATACAATTTTCAGGTCTAAATGCCTTTCTGTCAAAATGTAACCTAATTATGCCAGCCATCTCTGAAGTGAGCTGGAAATACTGCAAATAACCAAAAATCGAATTGCTTTCTGTTTCCTTTTTTTTTTAATTTCTGATCGATCATCAGATTTTTACAAGAGTTCTACATTCTTTCAGGCTTTAAGTAGGGAAAAATGGATGGTCCAGATTGATTTTGAAAATTCAGCTAGTTTAATTCATCAGAAAAGTTCCTTCTGTGAGGCATACTTTTGTATTAATGTATTAAATTCACTTATGACCATGTATTGAGTTTATGTGGCAAGGCTTTGGTAGCAGAATAGCTACAGGGGTGGCTTCTGTGAGAAGCTGCTAGAAGCTTCCCCTATGTCTGACAGAGCCAATGCCAGCTGGCTCAAAGATGAACCCACCGCTGACCAAGGCTGATCCTGTCAGTGACATCAGTAGCACCTCTGGGATAATGTAGATAAGAAGCGTAGAAAGATACTGTGGGACATGGCAACTTCAGCCAGAGAAGAGAGGAGCCAAAATATGTGAGAAGAACAACTCTGAAGTCACCAAGGTCAGTGAAGAAGGAGGGGAGAGATGTGCTGCAGGCCGCAGAACAGAGATTCCCCTGAGTTCTGGTGAAGACCGTGGTGAGGCAGGCCATCCTCCTGCAGCCCATGGAGGTTGATGGTGGAGCAGATGTCCACTGCAGCTCATGGAAAACCCCACGCCAGTGCAGGTGGATGTGCCTTAAGATGACTGTGATCCTGTGGGAATTCCACACTGGAGCAAGCTCCTGGCAGGACCTAAGAGAGAGGAGCCCATGATGGAATGGATTTGCTGTCAGGACTTGTGGTCCCATGAGGGACCCACGCTGAAGAAGTTCATGGAGGACCATCTCCTGTGGGAGGGACCTCACACTGGAGCAGGGGAAGAGTGAGGAGTCCTCCCCCTGAGGAAGAAGGAGCAGCAGAGACAACATGTGATGAACTGACCACAACCCCCATTCCCTGTCACCCTGTACCACTGCAGGGCAGGAGGTAGAGGAATTTGGAGTAAAGTTAAACCCAAGAAGAAGGGAGGAGTGGGGGGAAGGTGTTTTTTAGTTTTGTGTTTATTTCTCATTATCCTACTCTGATTTGTTTGTTAATAAATTAAATTAATTTTTCCCCAAGTTGAGTCTGTATTGCCCATGATGGTAATTGGTAAGTGATCTTACTGTCCTTACCTTGACCCGCTTTCATTATATTTTCTCTCCCCTGTTCAGCTGAGGAGGGGAGTGATAGAGCTATTTTGGTGGGTGCCTGGCATCCAGCGAGGGTCAACCCGCCACTCTGGCACTGGGGCCAGCTTGCATGTAAGAGCCTTTCCTTGTTCTATTGAAGTCTGTCATCTGCTGAAACAGAAGGGCGATATCCAAACCATCAATTAAGAATGATCGTTGGCCTACTCTAATTCCTAATCCATGCTCAGGAATTGGCTGAGAGGGTATAAACTGGCTTAGTTTAAAACCATCCTAGGGACTGATGTAGGCAATTGATTTTAAAGTCCTGTATTTGTTTCCTAGGACAGTTTATTTCATTTGTATTTTGTATAGGCATGTCTTAGGAAGCATACTATCTATATCTTATAATTTCTCATACAAAGACATGAAAGAAGCAATAACTGTAAATAGAACTACAAAAATACAAAACAGACATACAAATTTGCAATGAAGTGATTAGCCATTGGAACAAGCTGTAAATTCAGCATCTCCTAGTGCTTTCTCTTCTTGTCAGGATAAAACAGTCTGCTGCAGAAGATGCACAAGCCAAGGAAAAATTACTGGGCTGAAGAAGGATAGCAGGGTAAACAGTAGATTAAACTGAATAGCCTAATAATCCCTATTGGGGATAAATTACCTAGCAAAATCCTATGCAAAAATATTATTGGCTTTCTTGTGTTGTATTATTATTAGATATAATTATGCATCCATTCATTTTATGGAAATATCTTAAATCAGAATTTGCCACATGAATTTCTCGTTAAACTGATATGCATATTCCAAGGACTACATTTTAACTACAGACAGGAAAGGAGGACACCTTTCTCAGAACTGGCAGGAAATGGTCAAGGAGACATACTTCTGTTCAAGGCAGGGCAGCAATTTGTGCCAAACTTGTTAAATCAAGAAGCACGTCCTGTACAGATTCCCCCATGACACTGGCCAGGACATATATGAATAAGGTTGAGCGGAACTGTATCTTTCAAATCTCCAGACTACAAACATTTTCTGTGTGCTTTTACTAGTCTCATTAATTTTTTTGTCAGATGGGCCTTAAGTTCTGTTTGTTACTGAGAGATGGATCTGGATGTTATATATTAATAAAGAAAATGTTCCCAAATTTTCTACTGGAATCTTCATCTCTCAAAGGCAACTGTGAGGTACATACTGTTCCATGGAGCTAATACATACCTAGAGGATTATTTTTCTTCCTGTGATCCTTTAGACAAAAGTATGCTTGAACTCCCATTGCACTTTTCCACTGGTTCAGTTCAGTAGCCTGTTGCCTGGAGCAATGGATGCAAAATATTAGCTGTTAAAATGTCAAAACTTGTAACAAGCACCAGCAGCCATTACTTGAGGGACATTTAAGCAGGGTTTATTGAATATATTTAAGGCATACAAAAGGCTCCTTTCAAAAGGAAAGGGATTTTTTTTTAGTTATGTTTTATAATATTACATGATACTGGAAGAATCAAACTGAAACATGTCACATAGAATAAAACTCCTAATTAGGGCTCAACTGGCATTTCTGGTGATCCACCATCTCTTAAAGTACAAATCCGTTCACAAAATTTAGTTGGTATGAAATCTGTTCTGCTATCTTTGGCTGTGCTATTGGACATGCTAACTAATTTTGGCAGAAAAAGTCAAATACAGAGCATCAGAGATAGCTAAGTGTACAGTATGGTCTCTGTACAGCTCAGGGCATTGTAAGGCATACTTTGAAGCCAGCTGCGTTTTCAGGGAAGATTTTTAGGTACTAATGTATGTGTGCTGTCTTAGTCTAACTCTGTCCAGAGCTTCAGGTTTAATCCTAGAATTTTCTTATTTATAATAGACTGTGTTCTGTTCCTATTGTACCACTTAACATGTTTCTGAAGCCGTTAGCACACAGAGTCAAAAGTTTCTCAAATTATGAAGAAATTTATCTATCAGCCTGGTGATTTAGAACTGGACTGTCTTCATGTGCACTTACAGAAAATCTTGACTGAGGTTTAACTTTTTCAACAAGATGTGTTGCTGAGCAAACACTCTTTGATAACAATAGCTAGGAGGACTTAGGGCTATTTGTGTAGTCACTTACTTCCTACGAAGTCTGACCGAGTGTGTGGCTAGTGGTACAGATACTGCCCGAAAGGCTGTACAACAATTAATGGAGTATTTATGAAATAAATTTTACAAATTGATAATATTTTAAAGGTATAGGCCTGGATATCAAAAAGGAAAAAATCATTAAATAACACTTTAAAGCTCTACACACGGTAATGATTAATATCTCCCTACCTGTGTAATTTTTATTTTTTTTTCTCTCTCCATGTTTGTCTGTCATGGTGATCTTTGTTTCTTTGATCCTTGCAGACATCTCAGTCAGTCTGTTAGCAGTAGTCGTCAGCTTCTGCGGGCTCGCCTTGCTAGTAGTCTCACTTTTTGTCTTTTGGAAGTTGTGTTGGCCCTGCTGGAGAAGCAAACCTCTCACTTCCAATGCCAGTAATGTCCCTCAGAGCAACTCCAGTGCTCCTACGGAGAGTTTTGATACAAGTGAGAAAAAGGAAGTTAAAGAAAATGGGAAACCTACGACAAAGGTGCTTGAAGCTGCATTGAAAATTAGCCACACTTCACCTGATATACCAGCAGAGGTCCAGAACGCGCTGAAAGAGCATCTGATCAGACATGCACGCATGCAGAGGCAGATCACTGAGCCCACATCATCATCGAGGTAAGTCGGGGGCACTCACATTTGTGGCACCTCTCCTGGGAACAGGTAGAGCCAGAATGCTCTGCTGAAAACTTCAAGGATTCTGGATTATTCACTGACTTCTTAGCAGTTATGTGTGAAACAGCAGTCAGGCAAAGGCAAAACCTTAGTGTCCTTTGAACACAATATTCTGAAACATGGTACACCTTCAGTTGCATCAATATTTTGACACATGAAGATCAAATCTACGTGTTCTACTACTTTGTAACTACAAATGTTGCTAATTCAGGCATTTCCATTTTAGATTTTGTGTATAGGAAAATCTATTTCAGTGTTATTTTTAAAAGTACTGCCAGTCTAGCTTTTCACAGAGATATTTTTATAGATATAGCAGTTGCTTTTGCAGATGAAAGTTTCCCTCTCCACTAAATGACAGGTTTGTTGTTGATGGCACATTTCTTTAAGACATGGTTTGCCACTTATAAAGCAAGAAAAGTCCCAGTCTAAGAATATCGATTCTTATTGGCTGATCTTAAAGCAGTACAGATTTTATTTAGATCTTTAATTAATTTACACACATAGTATTTTTGAAGTATTTATTTTGTATTTAAGTGGAGGACAAAAACTTTTGTTTTGTGTTTGGTACTTCTTTATATTGAAAAGTAGTGAAAATGTGGGCAATGACCTATGGTTTCAGACAGCATTATCTTCAAATACTGTCAGCAAATCTAATGCACGGAAAACAGACAGTGAACTATAAAGATTGCTTTCTACATTAAAAAAAATAGAAAATGAATGTTTTATAAACAAAGAATGGGTAAATGAAGGCTAAAGCAAGTACCTGAACTATTATGCAATGCCATATGTTAGAATACAAATATTATATAGGAAGTAGCTTTCCCTCAATAAACAATTTGCTAAATGAATGCATGCTAACATGCCAACATTTTGAATGTAGTGGGCACATACTTTTTTGGCCTTCTGTGAGTCCCCCAAGAGTGTTTGGCAAGCTCAGTGTGCTCTTTGCAGTGGTGTGTGCCGAAGTGTTTTTTCCCAGCTATTCCAACAGTGTGGAACAGCCAACAGGCAACCACAGGAGGCTCCCAAAAATGAGTGCACTCCAGCCAGGGGAGGTCTAACTTAGCAGCTGAATCATCTCCTGAATTATGAGACTGTACAACTGACTTTAAGCCACAGTGGCCTGGCTATGCCTGGCTCCAGCTACTGTATCCATCTGCTAAGCAAGGGAGCACAGTATCCAAGCAGCTCTGAGGAACATTTCCAAAATACTGGGGCAAGAGCTTTGAAATTTTAACTGTTACACTAAACACAGAGAGACCGAAGCTGATACAACTTAGCATGACAAAGATACTATACAACTCGCTATTGCCTTGTAGGATATTCACTGGAAGAGTTTTATCCATCATGTACCAACATGTAAGTCTGCAGGTAGTCAGACTGTCTGACTTCCTGGACAGACAGAAGGAATAGCCGGCTGGCAAATGGACTGGGATAGTCCCTATGGCACTATAGAGGAAGAAAGAAGTTCCAGGGACATGATCCAGAGCTACTTCAGTCTGTGAAAATATTCCCAGAGACCTCTAGAGTGATCTAGACTGGAACCTAAGTGCATATAAAATATCTGTGAAGCCAAGGACAGTTTTGCAAAATTAAAACCTGCCGTCAATCCTAGTCTTTCTGCGTATGTTTTTAACTTTTTTAAGGGAGCTTTTTCTGTTTATTTTCTCTAGATTGTTTGAGTTAAATCTCTCCTGAGGACAGTTCTTTTGTTTTGAGTAACCCCAGTTGTCCCACCTGGAGACATCACCTTCCTTTACAATTTGCTGAAAAACTCTGCACCCATGCTAAAAAACAGGTTTAGAATGAGATGTCAGAAATGGTCACCAGAAATGGTCCTTTCTGTGTTTGTAAATGCATTTTTCCTATCCCTTGCCTGCCTTAAGGGAATCTTTACCTTTTGACAGCACATATTATTTACTACTTCCAAGAAAAATATGTATGAGATGAAGGTGGGATGTTTAGATCAGCTTTCTGGATTACTCCTTCGTTGTGTTGCAGAATGTTGTATCACAAAATGACCACAACCGGACTCTGATGTCCTTCATTGGGGACCTCTAAATAGAGAGAAGCCATTAGCAGACACAGAGGTAGCACAACTTTCTCTTGCACCATCTTTGATGCATGACATCATTGTGCTCAGGAGCCATAAGTAATCCAAATGCACTGTCTCCCGAAAGTATTCTACACAGAAAGGATCTAAGATAAACATTTGCTGACTGCATTGTCTCCTCTACATTGATCCCACCTGAGCTGGGGCAAATGAAAGGGTTTTGTGACAGGTTTATGGAGCCATCAGATCCCAATTCAAGAAATGGAATCATATTAGTCATTGTAATTGAAGCTATTTTAATAAGAGGCCATTCAGAGCTATAATAAAAAGTGTCTGATAACTTTTTATAGACTAAACAGTTAACAAGGAGATGGAAACAATGCATTTCTGCTTAATTAGAACTATATCATTTTCATAGTTCCCAATAATATGAAAAGACCTAGTTGTTAAAAAAAAGAAAGCACTTCAGTCCTTGATCCCAATTAACCAGTAAACTACAATAGAAGTCCTGCACGAGTGGTATTCATTTACAAACATTTTTTTTCTGTTCTTGAGAATGACTCTTCCCAGTACTTTGTGAAGGTATTCTGTAATATAAGTTATTGCTTCTGTGATATTCCTTTACTCAAATGTTCACCTGTGTTTTCAAAGGACACTCTTTTTGCTCTTTAGCATTAAGTGGGATAGGAGCTTGTCATTCAGCTCTTAAAAGAGCAAGTCAGTTCCCAGGAGGCACAAAGGCAAAAGTGAGGTGCTTGGGAATATTAAAGTTGAAGAAAAACAAGTGGGCCTGTTGACTTTAAGTGATTGCACTACAGCAAGTGCTGGTGTCCATTCCTGGATGTGGTCCAAAAGCTTGGTCTAATGCCATCTAGGAAAGCTAGACCAGAGCCACCCCTCATGAATCTCAAGTCATATAATAAATTAGCGTCCTATCCTTCTCTTTTGTCGTACATATGGCAGTCTTGCTGAGTTGGAAATTGCCTTAATATTATCATTATCCTTGTGGAAACAGAATTTTATATTAGAGTTTTACATAAGATTTGCTATCACTTAAAATTTGTTCTAAGTATTTGTTCTAAGTTGTGGAAAGCTTGTCTGTCATAGGAGCACCACATGCAAGGACCAGTAGAAGTTGAATTTCCTGGATTTGCAAACATTAGAAGCTTTGCAGTGTTTTCACAACCTGGTTACCTGACATCCTTGTACTTCATTATCAGTCATTAATTTCTTTGTTATTACAAAACAAAGGAAGATAAATGTGTTGCCATGACAACAATGAAGCATCTTAATAATTAACAGACCAATTAGCTATCTTGGTGAAAAGCTGTGACTCAGAACAGATTCTAGGCACTATGTAATTAGGGCTTTGGCTTACTAGAACAAAAGAGCTGCTGGTTCCCACAGGCAACAGTCATACAGCACTATTTTACTTCGTGGCATCTCGCAACAATGACTGCATTCACTGGAAGACCTTACATGCATGAAATCTGGAAATTTGAAAGCAGGTCGGTACCTTAGAAATCATAGATTTGGGGTTTATATGTTACTTTTACAAGTATTAACCCAGATCTTTATAAATCATCTTCATAAATCAGAAACCTCACCTGGAGTACTGTGTTCAGCTCTGGTGCCCCTAGCATAAGAAAGACATAGACTTTTTGGAGTGGATCCAGAGGAGGCCCATGAAGATGATCAAGGGGTTGGAGTACCTCTCCTATGAGGACAGACAGAGTTGAGGTTGTTTAGCCTGGAGAAGAGAAGGCTCCAGAGAGACCTTCCAGTACTTAAAAGGAGCCTAGAGGAAAGAAGCGGGGGGACACATTTTATCAGGGAGTGTAGTGATAAGACAGTGAGTAATGGTTTCATATGGAAGGAGAGTAGATTTACATTAGATACAAGGAGAAAATTCTTCTCCATGAAGGTAGTGGAGCACTGGAACTGGTTGCCTAGAGAAGTTGTGAATGCCTCATCTCTAGAAGAGTTCAAGGCCAGGCTGGATGGGGCTTTGAGCAACTTGGTCTAGTGGGAGGTGTCCCTGCCTGTGGCAGGGTGTTGGAAATAGGTGATTTTTAAGATCCCTCCTAACCCAAACCATTTTGTGAATCTATGATTCTATGAAATGCAAGGGAAATCAAGGAAAAGAAGATCCGTCATCTGTTTTCACTCAAACTGGAAATGCCAGTCAGCTTCACCATTTCGTCTGCATAGGCATTTTTCTCCACTGCTTGTCTATGTAGAATTTGGACATGATTATCTGCGCATCTCAGTGCTACAACTGCAGGTGTGAGGAGGTCTCAGGAAGGCCTACCTGCAAGAGTTTCGTTAGCACAGGTAGAAGTAGCGGTAACACAAGTCTTCCTGGATTTCTTTATGAGAATTTCTTTACTATTTCTTACTATTTCTTACTATTTACTATTTCTTACTATTTCTTTACTATTTCTTTACTATGGATTTCTTTACTAGAGAGCTAGTGCCTAAATTGCTGCATGCCCAAACATTTATTGCCACTACCTTTTGGGTGGAATTCAGTTACTTCCCTGTGCTTAGCACACCTGTGAGGCTGGACATCTCACAGGACGAAAGCACAAGGACAGCCCTGAAACTCCCTGAGGACAATATTGCACTTCTCTGACTAGTTAGGACCCCTGCACCCCTCTCCATTCTGATGTCAACATCATATACTATGAATTCAGAGAGTTTTAACACTGAAGAGAAAATGAAATCTTCCAACTTGTCTGTCTGTAAAAAAAAGGAATGTGTTATGAAGTGGGTGTATTTTTCATCTAAATTTGAGATCAAAACACCTGGATTTTTTGGAGCTACTTCAAATTTAGGCTATGAAGTTCTCCCTCTGTTATTCTTGTGTTACACTAGGACTGCTCCCTGCACCTCACAGCGCTGAAACAGCTGAAAGGGGAAATGTTCTTGTCTATTATTTAATGGCTGCAGATTACCCTCCTGTATCTCTGCTCAGCTGAACTGCGGTAGTTTTGTGCTTCATGCCTTCTGCAACCACTTCACTTACAGCGAAAATACAAATAATATCTATGAAATGGGTCCTGGTTGCTTTCAAATGGACAATTTGCATTTTTGATTTAAAGAAAGAAACACACAGCTGTGACACCTCTTGTCTTCAGAACACAACACCACAGGGAAACTAAGCAGTAAGGCAAGGCTGCATTTGGCATTAATAAGCAATTGATTCCAAAAAGCAGAAGAAATTCTGACAATTAAATTGGGGTTTTTTGGTGGCAGCTAAGTGTACTCACAGGAGGAAGTAGTGAGCTTTTCCAGTACAGATTGTTGGGGTAGTGAAGTACCAAGGAAAACATCTAAAAAATAAACTGGATAGTCTGGTCAGAGTGACATCTGCTGCTATTTTCTATGAAGATTTTTGATCAATGTTTTTATACTACTGTAAGGGTATATTGCATGCTAGGGGTTCGATTTCACTCATAGTAGGAAAGGCACAAATTTTCTTGATGTTCATGAATCAAGAAAATCCCATAAACACATAGGATTATGCATCACTGTATTCAGACAAGGATTGAAATGTATTATTTCTTGCAAGGAGTACAGCAATGAGCTGTCTGATACACTACACACCAGAATGTGAGAATGCAAGGAAAAAAACCCGTCACAGGTTTTTGACCAAAACTTTGGAATGTATTGCAACCAGAACAAAATGTTCCTGATATGATTGGAGAAGGCAGCCTGTCCCTCAGTGTAGCAAGTACCAAGCAGGTCTATATGAAATGTATATAGGATGGCAAAGCACTATGCTGAAAATGTGCAGACGTAGCTCTGCATGGCCTTTTCAGGCATCTTTTTTGCAGTGATCAGTGTGAAACTTGGTAAATATTTAATTGAAAAACGACCAAGGAATGCCTCCAAAAACCAGGAAGTACTGATGACGATTCTGCAAGTGTTTTGTTATTTGTTTATTTTCTGACTGACTATGCTTTACTCAGTCCCTAGCTAGTGAGATCAAGTAATGTTGGAATCAAAAACTTGCTCTGTGAAAGAACCTGAACCAGTTTCAGCTGCATAGCCTGAAAACAAGGTTATAAATATATGTATTGCCAGGATGTTGAGTATCTCTTCGGTAAAGAAGTTAATTCTGAATGATCATTTCCTCTCAAGGATGTTTTAACATTTACAAAACGTCTTGGAGGGGGGGTATTATTTTAAAATTAATTTAAAGAGAGGAACCCTTACTAATTTTGTCTTCTAGTATTTTCTGCTGGATCTTTTCCCAGAGATAACCACGGCTCATTTTGTGTGTGTGTGTGTATGTGTGCAGGCACAATTCTTTCAGGAGGCACTTGCCAAGGCAGATGCAAGTGTCCAGTGTTGATTTTAACATGGGGACAGACCCAGTTTTGCAGAGGGGAGAGACGACAACCAGCATTGGGAGAATAAAACCAGAACTCTACAAACAGAAGTCTGTGGACTCTGATGGGCAACAAGAAGATGTGAAAACATGTGGAAAACTTAACTTCACTCTCCGGTATGATTATGAGAATGAACTTCTGGCTGTCACAATTGTCAAAGCCTTAGATCTGCCTGCTAAAGACTTCACAGGAACATCCGACCCCTACGTTAAGATTTATCTGCTTCCAGATAGGAAAAAGAAGTTTCAAACAAGAGTTCACAGAAAGACATTAAATCCTGTCTTTGATGAAACCTTTCAGTTTCCTGTAGCCTATGACCAACTCAGCAACAGGAAATTGCATTTCAGTGTTTATGATTTTGACAGATTTTCTAGACATGACATGATTGGGGAAGTTATTCTTGATAACTTTTTTGAAGTCTCAGATCTCTCCAGGGAAGCCAATGTATGGAAAGACATCCACTGTGCTACCACAGTAAGTAACGTGTTCCAAAAGCATTAATGTGATATTTTCATATCTCTTTTGTAGTTTGCAGCAGAGCATTCTGTTTATCAGCAGAGTCTGGAGGGAAAAGAAAAAGAAGTTGTCAATGTTTTCCTTTGAGCATAGATACTTAGGAAGATATAAAATTTAATTACTATAAAATCTTCTGCGAACATACCATCACCCTTGTGGCTCACTGTGCAAATATAAATTAGATCTATTAATTAAATAATATATCACAGAAGTCACTGCTTAACAAGAACAACTAATATTTTCCTGTTAGCAAAATACCGTGCCTTCAAAATGACCATCTATTAAGGAATAGGGCCCATCCTGCTCTTGTTAGCAGATTTTCATATGTTGCAAATCTTGTGAAGGAAGAGAGAGAGGCTGAAAATACTTGAAGTCTAAAATACTCTTTGCTGACTGCTCTGTGCTTAGGGTCCCCAATAGATGTATCTGTGTTGCTGCTGGTTACTAGCAAAACTCAAGAGGCATAAGCAAGTAGAGTTAGGAAGTAGAAATTATTTATTTGCTGTTGCAAGCAAGAAAAGGATGCATTATGACAGGGTGGATGAGAGGCTACAAGCAGAAAATCACCAGTTTTTATTAACTTTGAAATTGAAACATCTTCCCTGGCTGGAATTTGGGGTGGAGGGGAATATAAATGATGGAGTGTGGGGGTTTAGTTTGTTTTAGCTAGTATGCTATTTATGCGAAAGTTGCCTCATCTCTTGTTCTCTGGAGGTATCCAAACCAGCCTGAGTCATCCCTGGGTTTGAGTATGGGCCGAACTTCCTCAGTGGGGATGAACAGAGGACACAGCAGTACTAGACACTGCTTCAGTGACAGAAGCTTCATCCCATCCCTTCAATAGAACTAGAGATTTCCCATGACTCTTCCCGAAATGAGGACATGGGCCATCTAGGACTGCATGACTAGGAGGACCAAGGGGATGGGTATTTCCTCACTGGTTTAAGCATAAGCAATATGTTTGCTAAGGAAGGCAAAGTGTTAGTGAGTAGAACATAATGGAGGCAGTTCCCAGCTGCAAATTCACAAAAAGAGCTATTTATTTTAGCTGCTGGGTCTACCAAACTGGTCTGAACAGCCTGCAGCACACCTCCAAGAACACCACATCTTGCGTATACTTAGTTCGATCAAGGTCAGATTTCAGGTAAATTTAAAATCTGTGTTCTCAAGCTTAAAATTGAATCTGTGTTTAAGGTCTTGTAATAATAGCCTAGTAACAATTTTTTAAAATTTCTTCTAGGTTTGATATTATCTTTAATACTTTAGTAATGATTTAGATGCTCACTGGTCCTTTGTAACAGGTGTGTATGTGAGATGTTTAGTTGATAACTAGAATTGTTTCAGTAAGTTAGAATCCCTGGGCTGTTCATCACTGCTTTTGAGCAGATTGAAATGACATACCAAATTATGTGGTTAGGAGAGATACTAATATATATCTGGATGAAACTGGTTGCTAACCTTGGTGCTGAACTGTAATTCAAGCTTCTTCCTCCCTAAGGCTTAGTTATAGTGCTTAATTCACTCTGCTGATGTTTTACTGTGTATGAAGTTTAAGAGAAAGCACGATTTTTTTGAATTTCAGCCTTTTAGCCACTACAATTTACAGGATTCCATGTGTGTGAATAAGTTTTCTCCACTTAAACCATTAGCAATAAACACATAAAATTGAAGTATCTTCTAGTATTGGGTCACCACATCAGCTTTCACAAGCCTTACGCTAGTCTCAAAAACGTATATAAGAAACAGATTGAATTGATTTTTCCTGGCAAAATTAATCCCTCCTATAAGATGTCCTGTTACTATATGTGCAACGTGCTGCCTTGTGTTCTAGCTGTTTCATGTATGTTAATATTGGTTGGCAACAAAGATTTCTAGTTCTGCCATTTCAGAAACTGTACAATAAGGGAGCCAATCCTGCACAGGACTAAACAATCCATAAGGTGTTAATCAATGTAGTCTTATAACATTGGAATTATCTAAAGTTTAGCAAAGTCCCTAACTAACAATTTAATAACTAGCCAATGCTTGCCAGAGTCAATTGGACTTGGATTAAACCTTGGAAAAAAATTAAGCTGGTTCTACAAATAGTGAAAAATAACTGTACTCCAGGCAAGCATGCTTTAAAAAACAAACTGTCTGTCTCATTGGGAAAGTCCTTACTTACACAGCAGAGTACAGGAACCAAGATGTCATTCTGCCGTACTTTTTCCTCCTTCACCTCTGCTCTTTTGTTTTGTATGTTCTGTGAAATCTTTCAGCCTTTTGTTCAGTCACACTTCCTACACTCAGTAGTTTGCTCATGTTGTTAAAAGACAGATGATAGAAAATGGCAGAAGTGATAGATCAAAGAATCGGTCTAAAAAGCATAGCAGAAGTAGCCTCTCCAGTTTTGAATCTTTTACATCTCTTCCATAGTCAAGAAATTTCTATTGAGAAGGTAGAGTGAGGATAAAAATCATTCCTGTTACCTGTTTAGAAAGAACATTTTTTTTGTGACAAAAGGGTCTATAGTCTTGGAGTTGAACACCTACTAGACAGATTTACTGAGGAAATGAACCGCCACATTTTACCAATGACAGAACTTACCACAGGAGACTAGGAGGTTCTCTGATATGCAGAGATTCTCTGTCAGTAGTTAACGTAGTTTTTTTAAAGATTTACTTGCACATCCACATAGAGTTTTTATTTGACACAGGAAATATAGTCTGGGGAAAATCATACAGGATGCTTGCACTGAGTCCTTTTAGTTGTAAAACCAATGACTGTAGGAACCTACAGGTTGAATACTTTTTTTTTATTTTGCTTGTGATAGTAATTTGAAACTATTTTATAGAAGTGCAGGATTGGCCCCTCCACATGTTCATTTTTATTCTTATGATTTTCAACTGTTGATATTTATTCATCCTTTGTAGTTTGTATTTAGTTCCTTTAATTTTTCATTCCTATCATTGTTTCCCTGTTATATGTTGTGTTGAAAACCCACAGGTATTGTATAATATGTAGCATGTACCTACCTCTTGTAAGTGCTAAAGCTTTTTCATTTCTTAATGTTAAATTATCAAGGTAAATTTGGTGTAAAATTGGTTGTGGAAAAGACATATCCTAGATATCTGAAGATATTTTATATCCCCAAATTTTGCTTATACATGGATGATTGAATTTTCAATAAATAATCCATCATTTACTTCTGTTTGTTTGATTAATTAAAAAATAAAAGAGAAGCTTGAGGCCCTTTTGGACCACCTGTATAAGTTGTTCAGTATATTGTAATACTGCAATTCGTAATAAACATTAGAAAATTATTTCATAGTATCAGAGGCAAACAATATCAAATGGATTGTTTAGTCAACATAACTAGCTTCTAGTTCTGCAAAGTGCTTGTGAGTTTTGCATACATTTCTGAGATTTTGTTGCTATCAAAAATACCTTGTACTTTAAAAAAGGAAAATTAATTTATTGCAGTTGCTATCAAGTTGCTTTGAAATTCTCTGGCTCTGACGTCACTACCTAAAAAAATTGGCAAGTGACTGTCAGAAACATTTTTTTTTTTAAAGATATTCTATGAACTCTGTTAGTGTAACCAATTATAGAAAACTGCAATTGGGGAAAAAAAACGTAGGGCTCAGAATTTAGATGAAAGCCATTTCCAGCACAGTGGTAGTCTCTTGGGGATGTTAGACATGGAGCTGTCATATATTTGTAGCCTCTTGAATTACCTCATGTAGACAGATGGAACTTGATTATTGCTTAGTTTTCTGACACCAGGCATTTCAGTGCTGCAGTTTTCTCATTTGTGAGGTGGGATATAAGAGAAGATTTTATAAAGCCATGTGATGCCTGTGATATGGGATTGCTGTTTCTAAAGCACATGGAATATAAGTGAATAGCATTGCTGTAAAAGACAGAAATTCTTAAATACTTGTTCTTTTAAGAATTGGGACAGTAAAATTTGTCTTAGTCCATTTATCTTAAACCCTTGCCAGAGTAGGATGTCACACAGCTAATTGTGCTAACTGTTGGCCTCTGTTATGGAACGAGATTCTTCTGACTTCCTCATCAAACAAGAATGAAACCCAACTCTGCAGTTCACCCACAGCAATTGCAGGCATTTTCTCTGCTTACTTCTCTCCATAATTCCCTATAAGTGGACAAAAAAATTGCACACTAGACCTTACTCTGAGTAAGGCAATAGCGGTGTAGAGCTGACAAAGATCTATCTTAGAGTAGTCCGACCTTGAGACCACATTACAAGGATTGTCCTACTTCTTAGTGTTCAAAGAGCGGTGCTTTGTCACCAGCAAGGTAGAGGACTGTGCCTTATGGTTAGCCATCCTCATCAGAATGGACTTAGACTGTTAGTGTTTCTGGAAATATATATAAAAGCTTTAACACAATGTTAAACAGGTTTGAAAGAGTAGAGACCTGTCAGTATTGAATCAATTATCACCTCTATAAGGGGTACAGACCCTTCAAAGCCAAGTAGCTGGCACTTGTCATTTCTGCTCAGGGCCAGTGATATAAAGGATTTATGTGACCACCTGCTGCTGAGCAGATGAGAGAATACTCTGGGTTAGTCTTTACACTAAATATGTTGAGGTTCTTCATTTAGGTTTGGGATATCTGGGTGATAACTAGAAAAGATGATGGAGGAAGGGTGTATTTCTGTCCAGATATGGAAAGCAGGGATAGTTTCTGTCATTATTGTATGTTTCTTTTCATTTGAAACGACAAATTATTTTAATATCATGCTTTGCCACAAGCAAACTGCTACTTTCAGTCTACCTTAAAGCTAAGAAATATTAGATAAATGATGAATATGTTTTCCTCAAGGGAAATTAATATCCCTGCATCCATGCACTATGGTAGTAGCTACACTAAGGTGCACAGCTTGACTGACCTGCTGTGCCCTAAGTGCTCTCTCAGCTTCTCACTGCAGATAGCCTCTTTGCAATCAATGT